TATGTCAGAAGGCTGGATGGTAGCCAGCATCAAGAGATGAGAGCTGTTAGTAATTCTGTGGAAGGACAAAGTTCCAGCAATAAGAAATTCAATTGTCCTCGATTTAAAAAAAAACATCTCTCAGTACCAGTTGAAAACAATTGATGGAATAAATCTTTCCCATTAGCAGAGATAATTTCACATAAATATATTGGGAGACCTTCAGAGCAGGACTAAAAGTCTTTGCTGAGCACCGTCTGCTTCACTTGTTTGTCATGTAATTGCATTTAGACCAAGGGCCTCGGAAGGAAACCACTGACTGAATTAACATTAACCAGATTGTGTGGAGAGAGTGGGGTGGGGTGGGGTAGGAGCGGCATGCTTGCTGCATTGTGGGTAGTTGTTCTTGCCTTCAGGAAGGACAAGCTGACACTAGTGAGATCAGCTGCTTACAAGCCTGGTGTTAATTGCTTTTCTCATCAAACAGAGGAAAGTTTATCACTCCAGGAAGGTAGACATGTGGGTACTTAATAAAGTGAGGACTGCGTTTGTGATCTTTTTTATAAATGCCCCTGAGCCTCATCAGTAGCTTTTCCCTACAACAGGAGGGGGAAAAGGCTGAAACCAGGTGAGTACAGGGTTATATGGACAATGGCACCTGTATTTTTGCCTCAGATTTTTGTCATTGAGGACTGTCCCACCAGCTTTATGTTGACAGCAACCAACATTCCCACCTGCCGGCCGTAGTAAACAGACTGGTCCCAAAATTGTAGACTCAGAGTCAAGCGTGGTTCAATCACCACTTTCCTACATGGCTTTCAGCCAATGATGTAACCACCCAGTTTCCTCCATTAAAAATGAGAAGGTCTTCTGCCGAGGTTAGAGCTCCACAGAGCTGCCTTCAGAGCACCCCAAGACGGAAAAAGTCTTTACCCCTACTACATCTAGGGCAGATCTTCTTTTGTCTTGTTTTCCACTCTGGGGTCCTTATAAAATGTCATCTCTAAAAGTATTCTATTTCCAAAATATGTGGAAAGCTATTATTCTAAGTGATCTGTAGTGTCACATTTATTTGAGTGATCCCCACACCATGTTTTTAACTGTGATCTCGTATTTATCAGCCATAGTCTAGACAACGTGGAAAGAATGAAACCTTGGCCCTGCCCTCAGAAGGCTGGCCTAGTGGAGAAGAGAGGTTTTAGTTTGGTAAGAGATCAAGGTGTTTGGGTTGTGTCCTTTGAAGTGGGTCTTTCCAGGTGAAAATGTTGTTGGGGGATAATATTTGAGGCAGCTGGAAGAACACTGGAGACTCAGGACCACCAAGCAACATTCACTGGCAAGTTTGGGAAGAGAGGAAGTGGGTGGTATCGGGGGATGCTAGCGTCTGCCCTTCTCCTGTCTCTATTGCCAGATGAGAGGAAGTACCCTCTATCCTTCTTCTTTATTCACTTCTAATGATTCAGTTAGTGACTATATTGCTATTGCCACCTATGGAGCCTTCTTTGTGCCAGGGTGAAAAAACAAGAAGTTCAAAAAACCGTCACGTATTCTGCGCAAGTCAGAGAGCTAAAAACAGCAGACCTGGACTTGAGCCTCGGGCACCTGACTCCAAACCTACATGCATCACTATAGCATATCACCCTCGAGGATCAGTTTTTCCTTACAGCTTCATGTGATATCCTCAAAAAAATAACCTCTGAGTGAAGTGCTCAAAAAACTTCCCCTGGACTTTCCTTTTAAGGATACTTTGATGCCTTAAATTGAAGGTAACATTTTGTTGTTTGTTATGGTACTAGAAATTGAACCCAGAACCTTCACACTGAGTACATCTTCAGCCCAAGTTATTTATTTACTTGGTTTTTTTATTTGTTTGTTTACATTTTTGAGACAAGGTCCCAATAAGTTGCACAGGCTAAGCTTAAACTTGCAATCCCCCCCACCTCATCCTCCCAGAATCCTGGGATTACAAGCGTGAACCACCACCTACAGCTTGAGGTGACATTTTTAAAAAGCTATGATTCATTTAGAGTGAGAAACATGAGTCCCTAGGTACAATATGTGTCTGAGTGACCAGGCTTCTATCTTCCCTGCTGAACAGAGCTCTGACCATGCATGGCACATTTATGTTATTTTCTCTTCTCTTTTCTCACAGGCACGCATGTGTCATTCGTGGTCAAGTGATGACATCAGATGGGACCCCTCTGGTTGGTGTGAACATCAGTTTCGTCAATAACCCTCTCTTTGGATACACAGTCAGCAGGCAAGATGGCAGGTATGGGCCAGAAAGAATGAAGGTTCTTGAGATCTTGGGATCTTGGGATCTTGAGATCTGGCCTTAGCTGCTGCTGAACTGACAATGTAGAAAGAAGATGGCATTTCAACCCAGAAGGTCTCAATTCAAATGCCAGCTCTGTGGTTCACTAAATGTATGACTTGTCTGACTCTGGCCTACATCCATTTGGCTATAGATTATACCAAAACTTTTCTCATTTGGATTTTAGAGAAAGTATATTGTACCTTATCCAAGTCACCCTGCCCCATGACTTATAGGAAATACTGTCATACAGACTAGTTTCTGCAACCTGGATGGCTCCAGAAATCTCAGCCATTCCTGTTGTATAGTTTCCATTCTGAAACTGCATAGGTTGAAGGAGTTTGGGTAATAACGGAATTTTGAACTTTTAATTCTTCTGAGAATCATTGGTAGAGTGAAGTACAGTGGTGACTTGGCTCACGAACTACATTCTCGCCAAGATTCTAGTCGTGAACTAAGTTAGATAAGAACTTAATCAAATTTCCCCATAAGATCAACACTGAATTTGATTTAGTTCCCATCTAATTTGGTTTGCAGCCAGAATCTTGGAAATAATTGTATTTATGAACCAAGGTACCCCTGTACCCTACCACTGAGCTATATCCCCAGCCCATGATAGGTGTTTAATAAATCTTAGTTCCCTTGGATTCGTTGCTGGCACATAGTATATAGTGAATATCAGTTGTTTACTAAAATTGCAAATTATCAAATAATGAAGAGATAGTGACAGGACTGACAGTGAGAGTATTTGGAGAAAAAAGAAAGAATAGAAAGGAAGTAGAATATTTAGGCTGTCAGTGCTGACAAGCCCTCTATTTTTAATAAAATCAGGTAGTGGCAGTCCATCTGGCCAATCGTGAGTCCATAAGGTTGATTTTTTTCACTCTGCGTTGGAAATTATGCTCCAGGCTGATTGATTTTAGCACCTCTTTAATCCAATATCAGATGTGAACATGTCCTGGCCGGGGTGATAATGAAGTAGAAGCTCATCTGTTTGTAGACATGTGTGCCTTCTAGATGGGGTTGGCAGGCTCAGCAAGGGGAGCCCCAGGCTCTGCATGAATGGGAAGGACCCAGTTGAATGAGATTGATAGCTGTGCCCCAGGAGGAAACTGGCCAGACCAGGCCACTGCTCCCCGCCCTGCACACATTCTGCCTCAGGAGGTGCCTCAGTGCAGATCCCTGCTGCAGCACAAAAGAGTCCCTTCCATTAAACCTTCCTCCACATTTGTGGCTGCCTAGTTTATGCAAATATAGGCATGGACATCCTAAGCAACAGGTATTCCAACTACATTACTACCTGCTGGGAAACAGTCCTCAGAAAGAGACTGTTAAGACTGCTCTCATCGTGAAACTTGCCAGCCATTCATGTGTGATGGCAAATTGTCAAACCTTATACCCTTCTGAGTTTGTTTAGAATAGGTCTATAAAACACTCCAGAATCTGGGGTAAGTGTGACCTCCCTTGGAAAAATCTCACTGTCTTGTACTTCTAGCCCTTGATTTTTCTCATTTGTGTCAGTCCTGCAGACTGTACTGTGTGAGGGCAGGGAGGTCCCTAGGAGAGATATTTTCTCCATCTGCCTCCAAAGTTATGGCAGAATAGCCAAAACAGCTGTGCGTAGAGCTTGTGTTTTAATGCATTTCTTATTAGTGTATTGTGTCGTTCACATTTTCTTCTCAAAGTAGACACTGTAAACAAGGGAAAGCTGTCACTTGCTCCCGTGCTGTCTGAAACTCCATTTGTTATATGTGGACAGGAAGCATTTCGATTCTCTCCATCTACCCTTCCTTGACCTTTCTCTTTTGCCTCTCTATGATAGGAGAAAACATAAGGCTAGAGATATATTCTGAGACAGAAATATAAGCAATTGTGTTGTGAACCCTGGGACAGTGTCTGACTGGTCTGTGTAACTCTTGCTTTCCAAATAGACACCACCCGCCCCAGCTCCCCAGTTCCTGCACACACAGACACACGCTCCTATATGCACATAACACTGAAATAACAGATTTGAAGTCTTAACAAGAGCTCATAAACATAAACAGTAACAGAGAAGTTAGCCAACGAGCTCATTAAAGAGTCAGAAAACAGAAGTCATGAAGAAAGACTAAAAAATAACAGACAAGAGTAACAGTTCAGGCTCACTGAGTTGAAAAATGGGTTTGTACAGAGCATGATCCCCAGGGAATGTGTGGGACCCTTTGCTTTTCCCATCCATTACCCACCTATCTGATTACTAACCTTGCCAAGTGATGATGACTGTCAGCTTCATTTTACAGATGAGGACATTGAGGCTTGGAAAGGCAATGTAGGTCACCTAGGAGTTAAGCAGCTGTGCACCTACCATCTCTAAAATGTTTGGGCTTCCTCTAAGAACCCAGTCTTCCCTTTGGGGTCAGATCCACAACAAGTTTCCCTGCCAGATGAACAGGCCTGGCCCTGGCCCATTGCTCTCAACTCTTGGCAAGACCAGCTGCCCCCAGCCTGCTCATGCCTTGAGACTGTGTCTTTTCATGTTTGCCTTCCCTCCTTCCCCACACTCAGCCTCTAATACAGGGAGCTTATGAGTCTGGCAAAAATTCTGTTTGATAGTTAAAAATGTTCTGTCAAAGCACAGATGCTATTAGTTCTGGAACAGAAAAGTGGTTCTCTATGTGTTTTCCCAAAACCATGGACATTCTTCTTAACTCTTGATCCAAAATAAATACCTGTCCTGGTATTTCCCTTCATTGAAGGATGATCATGTCTGGCTTCTTGTTCCAACTGGCACAGGAAAGGCTGAGTTGAGGGTCAGGCTTATTTGGGTAAGAAGTCCCTAAAGAAAACAGAAAAGTCATCTTTAGAGCTAATGCACCTAAATCTGGGAAGAACCATCTAACGAGATCAGGAATTGGCACCAGGATAGGACAGTTGGATATAAAATCCCTGTAGCCTCTAAAGAAAGAACAAGTTGGAGCAGTGGGAGACCTAGTCTCCCAGAGTAGACTCTCCAGGGCGAAGGTGAGATCCTGTACTGGGGTTGCTCAAACCAGTTATATAGGTGAATGCTGCATGGGCTTGCAGCAGCAGGCAAACTAAGAAAGGACCTTGAATATCCAGCAGACAGTAAGTTCAGAAGTAATTGAAAGTGTCACTCATGCTTTCATTCTATGAATTCCTAACCATCAAGCACTCGGCTTGGCCCTGGATTGGCAGAGGAATCAATGTGCCTGGCCCAAGAGCTAAATGAGCAGTTACAGGGTAATATGACATGGGCTCCAAAAAAGTAGTGAACATGCTGCATGGGAGCTGGGATGGAATCTGGAATCCTGGCTGGGTACGGCTGTGTGGAGGAAATGATGTTTGAACTGGTAAAAGAAAAAGAAAAGAAAAGAAAGGAAAGCAAAGAGAGACATTAGATATGTACCCTAAAGAAACAGCTAAAAGGACTTTGTCCAAAGAGACACTGCAGCCAGGGGTTAGCAGATGCATAGGACCACGGTTTCTAGGTCTTGAAGAAATGATGTGGAGATGTGGAGCAGAAGGAAGAGACGAGTCTGCAATCATTTCAGCAGGTACAGCCATAAGTAGCCAAAGATGGGCCAGTGTCCCTGTGGTTCTTTGTCACTGGCAGTGAGCAAGTAGGAGCTAAAGGGCCCCTTATGGTGACTCTATAGAAAGGACTAGGGCATCATATTGAGAGAAGGGTTATGTCAAATGACCAACAGGTTCCTCTCCAATGGTTCAGCTATTACTTGATTTTATGCAACTGTCTTAATGGTGGAAAGAACAGAAAATGTAGTCTGAGTCTTATTGCATGCTAAATATGGGACCTAAGATGCAGCCAGCTCCTCTACTTGGCGAAGCAGACCTGGTCTACAGGATTAATGGGTGTCCTTGACTTACCCTGGGGTTTTCTTCCCCTTTGTCCATAACCTGAGCTCTGAGGATGTGACTGCAGAGCCAGGCTCCCTTGAGAGCCGGGCACCATCAGAAACACTGAGATACACAGATGTGGACTCATTTGCCTTGGATTTTCAACAATAAAGTGTCCGTGCCCAGGTTTAGAAGGGCAAGTGCCTTGCTAGGTTTGTCTTCAGGTGTTCAGGAGTTTATGAGAGTTCAAACATTAGAACTCAGCAAGATAAACAGCATTTTCCTGACTGGATCTTGTTTGGGTACAGTATATTTTGGGTGTAGTATGACCCATGTATCTAAAGAAGTATCTTGATTTAGTATAATTGTCTTATATCTCTTACATGTTTTTGGCCGTTTAGTCTAACTGTTAATCTGTGTTTATGATAATTAACTTGAAGAAGACATAGAAATAAATCCAATGCTAACAAAAAAGAAGAAAAAAAGTGTTGAAAAGAACAGGAGTGAAGGGGAAGAAGAGCAAAAATAATTGAAATCCGTTACATATTTGTGCCAGCTCCCCACAATGAATGTAATCATTATGTACTGCAAACATGAACTAACAAAAAAAAAAAAAATACACTGTTAAGCAAAAAAGGAGACAGTTGCAGGATAAGGCGAGGAAGATTCTGCCTATAACATCTCCCGCAAGTCTAGAATAAAAGAAGCCCAGGGTAGGGGCAATCATCCAACGTGGGGAAGGGGCTGGGGCCACAGGCCTGTTTGGTGTGGTATCAGAGGCCCTCTTCCCCCAGAGTTCTGTGAACAGGGGCCAGACTGCCAGCTCTCAGCCCATTGCAATGATCTCATCTCACCTGGGTGGTTGATGCTCTGTCATCTGGTTCCCCTTTCCTCAGAGATGCTGTACTGTGATCCTAATTGTTCTGTCTCTAAACAACTCAGTTATTTTGTAATTGCAAAGGCCTTTGTTGAGTAATCATCATAATAAGAGCAAATTTCGGTGATTATAGAATCTGAGTGAATTACGAACAATCCACTCAAACCTTCGCATTTTACAGATGAGAAAATTGAGGATCAGAAATGCTAAGTGATTAAAACCACACTATAGGGGCCAAGGATATAGCTCAGCGGTAAAGCGCCTGCCTGGCAAGTGTGAGGTTGTGAATTTGATTCCTGGTACCAAAAAAAAAAAAAAAAAAAAAAAAAGACCACACTCTAGTTAACAACAGAACCAAGACTAGACTTAGGGTTCCTAACTCCCAGTTAGCATTTCTGCTTTTTTCAGTGACTTTACCAGATTTTAGCTTGACACTGTTTAGAGGCCTGTTGTACCAGGAGAGCAAGAGCAGCCAGGTCCTTGCTCTCCGGTGCCCTGGAAAAGGGATCTCTGTTGCAGTGATTAGCTTGGCTTCAATAAATTCTCTACAGTGAATCATTTGTCAACACCTTGATGCTTCGTGGAATAACCATCTCTGTTTGTGGGTGTAGCTGAGTCTCTAGGTCAGTGATGGTGCAACTTTTAGAGACCGAATACCAAGCTACAACCCAAAACCCACTGATCACAAAGTGCCAACAACTGCATTTAAACCTGAATACTGAGGTTTCAGTCCAAAAAAAAGCTACATTAATGTCTTTACTCTTAAAAGAGAAGCACAATAACACACGTTCCACAGGTTTACCACAACTGCTCCCCTCACCATGTGCTCAAATGCTTTGTGTAATTTTCTCTCCTTTCTGTCTCTTTCTCCTCCTCATCATCATACTGCTTTCTCTGCAACTCCCCATTCCAACAGCTTTGACTTAGTCACGAATGGTGGCATCTCCATTATCCTGAGGTTCGAGCGGGCACCTTTCATCACGCAGGAGCACACCCTCTGGCTACCCTGGAATCGTTTCTTTGTCATGGAGACTATTGTCATGAGGCATGAGGAGAATGAGATTCCCAGCTGTGACCTTAGCAACTTCGCCCGCCCCAACCCAGTCGTGTCTCCATCCCCACTGACGTCCTTCGCCAGCTCCTGTGCAGAGAAAGGACCTATCGTGCCAGAAATTCAGGTACTTAACTGCGTTTTGCCATGCTTTTGTTTTATTCTGGAGGTGGTGTAGGATCTCAGAAAGGATAGAAAGATGAAAGCTCTCTACCATCAGCCCACCTTGCAGAATCCAGCTGCCAAATCCTGCAGCAAGCAGTGTCACGACATCGGGGCCACTGTCCCACATGCTGAAAACACGAGACTGGCATGCTTGGCCTTATAGTCTGTTCCTCTTCCCTTTGCTCTGCCATTTAGCTCACTTCTGCTTGCCTTTTCCACAGCTTCCAGGGTGTCCCCCTCTCAGTGCTTCTGTTAAAAGTATTTATAATAATAGGTTCTACCCAGAGGAATAAGCCACAGGATTCCCAAATAGTGAACATTATAATAAAGATTAAATGAGAAAAATGCATATGAGGTACTTTGCACGATGTCAGACACCTAGTAAGTGCTCAATATATTTTAAACATTAGTATTATTAAAATTATTTAACACGCGCTGCCTTCATGCCAATTAAGAATTACTTTGGCTCAAATCTATACACCCAAGTGTTTTACTTAATTATCATTAAAGGGAAATAATTAGGAGAGATGCATTTTAATCTGATGGAAATCAAGATAAATTCTTTGCCTCACAAAGCCCTAACAATTTGCATGTCCTCTGGCATCCCCTTGTTTTCCAAGGGCCAAAAGGAAGGGCTGAGGGAGGGGAGAGATGGCAGAACAGAAGCCCCTGTCACCTCCCCTGCCTAATGAGAACTTGGGCAATGTGCATAGTAATGGATTGCCTGAGCACTGGTAGAGCAGGGTTTATACATTTATGTGTGTGTATTTCATGCTTGGCTGAGCAAACACTTCTTCTCTGCATGGCTTCCAACACCAGCCCACAAGAAGGAAATACAACCATTTCAAAATTCTTATTGCTCTGACAGGTTGAAAGCACACTCCTTTTCAGAGATTCAGCTCCTGACTCATGTCTGAATGACCAGGCTGACCTTTCTGATGAAACGGTTGTCAGTGGAGACTGAACTTGCTGGAGAGACCTAATTTGTTACTCAACCCCTCCTGAGCTCCAACTAGACATTTTTCCCCAAGAGTAGGGACTTTGGAACAAATGAGGTTCAAGGTCATACCCTCTTTACAGTGCTCCCAGAGCTGGGTGCCCATAAGTTCAGTTGGCACATAAACCTTGCTCATTGTCAGACTCCAAAAATACACAACAACAAACACTTAGATTTTCCCAGGCCTGTCATTGGTTAACCTTTGCAAAGAAATCAAATCACAAAGGGAAATATTCATTAGAGCATCAGGATAGCACATAGAGCCTGCCTGTAGTTCACCAGGGGTAGAGCCTGCATCACCTAGAACTTGTCATCTGTGGTTACAGAACACAGCCTTGGTTTTTAGTCCAATTCCCAGAACTTCCTATGTTAAGGAGAACAGTGTAAGGTAAAGGCTCATGCCCTTGTTTGGAATGGACAGAATGATAAATGCCCAGTTCCTCTGTGAACACAGGGTAAAATAATCATTGCCCCTTGAATGGACAAGTTAGTCTCAGCTAACTTAACGATCCCTTCTTGAAAGAGAACCCAAAACACTAAGCTCATGAAATTCTCTGTTGTTGCCATGTGCCTGATCATCTTGCATTCATGGACTCTTTCTGTCCTGCTCTGAGCACATAAAGCGCTGCCTTCCCCAGAACTCTTCTTCTGATGGTGCACCTGAGTGGGGACCCAATGTGCACAGAAACTCCATGCTACCAATACGGTCTCTCTGAGCTGAGTAGGACAATTGGAGCAGGTCTTTGCCAGGCTGTGCTGTCAACTCTGCCTGATAATTGGTTTGGCCAACCTGCATAGTCTCTGTTTATTTCCCTAGAAAGAATCACTACTGGAGACAGATCTTCCTTTAGGAAAGACTTGAGAGCGAAG